GAACTTAGGACAGAAAAAATTCAATACAACAAGACGTAGTAATACGTTGCATTTAGTTTATTAAAGTGTGAGGGCAAATAAGACAAAAAGAGAGTGGTAAGTTTGGTATTTTTCCCCCTCAAAATGGACCTTGTATCTTTAAGAAAGAAAAACAAACCCATCCATGGCCCAGTTACATCCTACAGGTGGCACTCAGCAGATGGAATTTACATGACTGCTGCTAAGCTAATTCAAACATGTATTTTTTATTTATTCAGGGGGAGTATTAGATATATTGAAAGCAAAATAATTTTATTATTCCTACTGATCTGTGAGCAACTGCATCCTCAAGTTTATAACACGAGCTTAATACCCAAGACCAGAGGAGAGGCAATGAAACTGACCTCATCAGAACATGATGCATTAGTTTCAAGTTAATGTGATTATGTCCCCACCAATCTCACCCAGCACAAGTTTGTGAAGAGTTAAGAGTATGTCTAAATCTTTTCTACCATAAAGACTTTTTCCTGCCACACATTCTATTAAATAAAAATGGATGTGTTATGACAGGAGATAACAGAAAAAAACAGCGGGAACAAAGGTTCTCCATACAGCAGGTTTAAAAAAAAACCCAAACAAAACTGTGATTTGAAACAAAACCACAATATGTACATAACAAAAATTGACAGAAAAAGTAAAGCACTAAGAGCGAAAACCTGTTTCATCTGGTGGAATAATGGGGGGAATTAAAGACCACTACTCCCCTTCCCCCAGATCCTCAAAATAACATTAAAACATTAAGGAAATTTTAGGGCAGAATGCAGCTGCTACTTCCAGGATGGAATGCAGTTGGCATGCACAGAATCTACGCTGTGATAGTTCCCCAGGCAACCCTGCAACCTTGGCATGTGTGAAGAAAAATTGAATGGAGAGTGGAGCGGAGTGAAGACACCACAGCCAGGCTTTGTTATACTCCCTGCAGGAGCATGAAGACTTCGTGTCCTGATAAGCAGCACAGCAGCTGATAGACAAGGATTGTAAAGCAAGAGAATTTCACACCAATCATTAATAAAGTATTTATGACTAGAACCACTCAAGTTCCATAGGCACGTACTCAAGCTTCACAGCCATATAGCCAAACTCCATAGGTATTTAGTTAAGAAACTGCAACTTGTGTTACTATGAAGGAGCCTGAATAGATAGATACAAGGGCCTCTTAAATGGTCAGGAGACCTGAGAAACATAATTGATTTATGGTGAGAACTGATAGCCAGAAAGGCTTTGGCCTTGCATAGGCAGACTAATTAAAACAGGACTGAAGAAAGCACGACTGAGAAAAACAAGACTAACGAACTTCTAATCAGGGAGGACTATCCTTGAAGTCTGCTACATCCCAACACCACCTGGACATTCACCCAAACATGGCTTCACAAGTCAGCAAAACATGATTAAGCTGTCCTTTTCATGAACTTTCCCCATTATAATTTCACTTTAATACTAAAACTCACACCCCACAGGTCAAGAGATCCCTGCCCAGGTCAGAAGACCCTTCCCTGAGCATGCATAATTAGGCAAATTAACTGCCCAATGGGTAAATGATGGGAGGGTTACGGGGAGTTACTAACCTGAGTAAAATGCCATAAATATGCAAAATTAAGAGTAAAACAGTTAAGGAAGACTCCACCGTAACTGCTGGGATTGGTCGATGGGCTGAATGTGTTTTCTCCCCTCCACAGAGGCCTATTGGATAAGAGCTATACTCTATGCACATTTAATGATTAATTTTAGCTGGCTTTATGTATACATTATTGTCACACTTGTTCTCACAATTAGTGTACTGCCAGTGGCAATCTTTGAACCTTAATGTCCTGTCAATGGCAACCCTCAAACATTAAGCTGTCACGAACTTAGGTAATAAAAAAATCTCAGCTGAGATCTATTTTGTGTGAGTTTCCACAAACTTAAAAACTTCATTCAGTGAGTGAATCTGCTACTGTGAACCCCTGAATAGGATAGCAGAATTGCCCTTGGATATAGTGTGCTGCCCAGTGAAGCCCCTGGAGAGGGCTCCGACAGGCTCATTGGGCTCAAGGGTCTCACCTTTCCCAGAACATTAATAGACCCTTCAAACATACGGGTAAAGGGGTAAAATTCCCCCCTTACTAGGGCAAAATCCCATCTTACTGGAGTAGAACCTACCCTTAACATGACATCTGGGAATCCTGAAGGCTAGAATGTAACAACTTCCATGGAGGCACAAGTCCTACCTGTATTAAGCTCTGCATGGGACTTCATAAGAAGACCAAAGAGCACAAGGATATAAGGAGCAATCCTCACCTACAAGGTGCTCAACACTTCAAAAATCAGGTAACTTAACATCAAAAGTAAATACACTGTTCGTTTGTTCTGATTAGAGAGCTAATGCTAAGACCAACAGTACTATGATCATCAGTAAAGAAACTGAGGTAGCCATCTTGTACCTAATAAAATCATAGCCAAAAGAAAACGGTATATATACATATATTTTGTTCAAATGAAGAAAAAGCAAGGACAGCTAGAAAGGAACAGAGAATTCATACTGCTCATGTCAAAGACATTAAGGACACAGAATAGCTCAAATGAACTTTAGCTTTCCATTCTCTTCCTTTGCTATTTTGAGGCACATGGATAACTGGTTTCTCAGGCACTTTCTCTGGAGAAATATGCTAAATGCTTTACAATGGTTAAGATTACTTTGCCAAATAGTTCAGGTATAAACTGAATGGAAACCAGGAGTGAACACAAGTCTGTCTTGGCTAAAAAAAGTACTACTTACATTGCAAAATTTTTTTCTCTTCATTCCCCAGACCAGGAAAGAGCATTTTCCTTAACAACTCAGAAGAAATGAGGTGTGACAAGTGCACATAAATATCACATTTGCTAAAATTTCAGAATCATTCTGTATTATTTTCCATAACATGCACTGAACATTCTTTTCAAATGTACGAATGTAGCAAAATATGATTTATAAGCAAATATTATCAAAAATCCCTTTGTTATCCAAACTTTTGCCAATCAAAATGCATTACTATAATTTGAAACCAATAATTAAGTCAATTTTTCATTCTCCTGCTGCATTAAGCTCAACATAAGCAGTGGAAAAACAGACTTAAGATGGTCGTGTAAGGTAGGACTCAACCAGCCTCTGCACCCCTCATCTCATACTTCCCTGCCCCTGCTACCACTCCTCTACACAAGTCTTCTGGAAAAAGACAGTCAGAAGCAGTGAAGAGGTGGATGCACAATTTCCTTGCAACCTGCTGAATCATGTATGTGGAAAAGCTCATTGTAGTGAAAAGTGAAAGACAGAAAGACAGACAGAAATAAAGGCTTGTTGAGTTATTTTCTTCTTGTAAAATTTAAACCAGGAAGTGTTAAAAGATGACTTTAACAAGGTTTTTCCTCACAGTCTCTCATTGTTCCAACCCCAGTAGTTATCATGCATACTGGAGTTCGAACTGGCTGCGTTTTCCACTTGAAATGGCAATGCAAAATGCCAACTCAGTTAAAGTTCTGTGAAGCTTTGTTAGTTGCTTCAAAATGCAGTCATCTCTCTCTTTTTCTCTATTTCTTTCATATGCTGAAATGTTTTGGGCTTTTAGTTTTTCCCCCCACTTTGAAAGGAGAGAAAGGCAGAGAAGAAGAGTACAGAGAACAGCGTACCAGAATTGAACACCTGAAAATAAATCAAGCAAAAAAAAAAACCCATCCCAAAACCCAAAACCCAAACAAAAACCAACAAAATCCCCCTATTTCTTCTATTAGGAAGGACTGCAAAGGTAGCAGATCTGTCCTACCAAGACTAAATCCAAAAGCTGCTGAGCTCTACAGTTTATACCATCTCCTAGTGGTAAGAAAGAATACAAAAGCTTTAATATATTTAACATTTGTTTGAACAAATGTCAGCCTAGATATTAGATAACAGAATAATTCTTAGATATGTGCAAGGAATCAGTTGAAAAATATTCCCAGGTAAACTACAGATGCTGGATTATTTTGGTGTGTGGAAGGTGAGCAGTACTGCCTGCCAATTACTTGCTTGTGAGCCCACTTGTCAGCAAGGCTCCATCCTAGGTGATTTGGATAAATGTTCTGGAGAACATCATACGGCATCTTCTGCCAGAAAGAAGGCCAGAAAACTCTTGGCATCGTAAGAATGAACACAGAACGGAGACACTTCATAGACAAATACTTGCAAAGACTATAAAACCATCCTAAACAGTGTAAGTTACTTTTGCACCACAAACGCACGCGGTCTGGGAAAAAAACCTTCTGTGTTCCCAAGACACCTCCATTAACAGCGATGATAGTTCTATGTACTCAATGGCAGAAATATAAACACACTTAGCAGTGAATAATGGTTTTTAAAAGCCTAGTAAGATAGAATGAAAATCTTTACGTATCAAAACTGCAGTCATATAGCTTTCTGTTTATATTATCCATTTCCAATGGAAACAAAATATTTAACATTCTTCTGTGAATATAAGCACTATTAATTATGGCAGGTTTCTTGAGACAAATATTCTGCCACTGTTTTCCCCAATACAGCACTGCTACCTACCTTCAGGTACATTTTGCTTCCAACCCAATTAAGAAGTAAAAGAAAGGATCTCTCAAAAATCAACCTTGCTTCACCCACAGAGCTAAAGGTAGTGTTCCTGGAACATTTCCTTCTAGGAGCTCTTTATCCACACAAAGGAGGGAAAAAAAAAACCCCAAACCACCCTTTGCCATATTTTACAGTAAGCAAATTAATAATCTGAGGAAAGCAAAAAAAAGCAGCAACTTTCATAGACTACACTCACTGTATGTAGTAAATCGTCATTTTCAAGGCACCAGATGCGCAATAAAGGAGACAGGTTAAAGGAAACAAAAAACATTTGGTTACTTATTGCCCAGTGAATATTTTAAAAGCTGTGCAATTTGCAAGAGGTATTTGTTAAGTAGAACAGTTACTCCAGGATGTAGTATCCATCACCTACCTTGTAGAAGGGCTCCATTTCTCTTGAAAAAGGTGCTTCCTGGCCAAATGGGTGGACCTGATGTGCTAAGGGTAAGAAGAAATAAGTGTCAAGAAAATCTCACTTACATTAAACAATTACAGGTTACTATATGCATGAATTCTGTTTTGTTTTTAAAGCTCATGTAGCATCATGGCATTTTTGCCTTCAAGCAAGATTCTAAAATTTCATGTTAAAAATAGGTTCATTCTATTCAAGATTTACATTCTCTTCACAAGGAAGAACCTCCTCAGCAAAGCACACCCCCACACTCTCTAAGAGGAAAAGAGAAAAAAGCAGTTTGGAATGAATAAAAAACCCTCAATACACAAACCCAAGTCAATGTCAAAAACATTTCCTCAATTTTCAGTACAGCAAAATAGATGTCTTTTCCCAAAGCCATCTGCTAAAAACCCAAACCTGTCTTTCGTTACTCATCCGTAACAATGCGCTGCCCCAGCTAACACATCAAACTGGAAAGGCCCTGGCCAGACACCAGGTGGTTTCCATGCTTCCACTGGAGCACTCTACCCTGCACTTGGGGCACGGCCACATCCTTCTTCTGCTTTGCCTTCTCTCACGCAGAGACTGCCCCAACGGAAGGGCCTATGAGAGGCCTCCCCAGTGACAAGCATGCCTGAAGGTGAAGAAACAGATTCAAACATGGGAAAGGGAAAACGAGGGAACATCAGTATGATCCTCTAAACCTTGTTTCCTTTGTTGCCTCAGAGCAGCCCCGCAGTGCTGCGGGCAGTAGAACTGCAGAGCCCCCACTACAACAACCTGCAGTGCCAGGGAGTCAGAGAAGAGGGGAGGCTATGAGGAAGAGCCTCATGGCTGCCCGCATCCCTCTTCTCCTGCAAAGGCAGAGGAGCATCACCATACCACAGCAGCTCTCCTGCCTACAGCAGCTGCCCACAGCTGCGTCAGTCGGCAGATGGACCAAACTCCCTGCACATAGAAGGAAACCTCGCTCTTTCCTTAACAGCACAGACGACTGTTGGCCACATATGCCCATCTCTCCACTACAGCCAGCCTGCCCTCCCAGGGCATTCCACAGGCAATTCCACAGGCCCAGAGCAAGAGCACAGACACTGCTGCTCCTGCCCGGTGTGGAATCCTCAGTGGGAAAGGCGCTACCTGCAGGAGTTCACTGATCGCATCCTACGGCTCAGGCGCAGCAACTATTTTAAAGAGCAAAGTACCTAGGGGAAATAACTAAAAACATGGAAAGATTTGTTGCAGTGTTGTCAAGGCAGGTGTAAGAGACAGACTGCCAGGGGGTCTTGCCTGTAGTCATGAAACAGGTTTTAAAGTCCTCTACAACTTGAAGACAGTCATAGGCATTTTAATATACTGAGCTTTTACTGAAATTTGTATCATGAAACTATGTTATCGATATATAAATAATTGCCCTATGCCCAAATTCAAGCACAAATTAAAAGCGAGGGACTAAATATCCTTCGGTAAGACTGCTGTAAGGTACCCTGCCTTTTTAAGGTAATCCATCTTCCTCTCTGGGTGGAAACTCTGAGCCAAGCCCCACACACCATTTCTGTTCAAAGTTACTTTTGTCTCCTCTTGAGTTGACTACCACTACACAAAATGCAAAGAAATGTAAAACATATGTTGTCTATTACATTGACAGCATTAGCAAAGTTCTGATAAAATGCCATCTATAAAAAACACATTGCTTTCACAATTAGTCTGCACAGACTCTCGTGCTGATGTATAAAAATTTCACTGTGTTAAAATACAGACTGTAAAAGGATCCAAAGCAATTACGTGAGTAATAAAAGCCTTCAATACTCCTGAACAAAAAGGGGAGTTGAGAGAGAGAGAGCGTGCAAAATGACCAAGTAGTTAAGTAGGCTTGCATTCTGGAGTGCTGGAGCACACTGGGGCATGCACTCGTCTGAACACGCACGCTCACTTCATAGGGCTTAATGTAACCATTTGTTTGCATTCCTTATAGTAAGTACCAGCTCTTTAAGTGTAGCTCCTCAACCCACATGAAGGTCAAGAGCTGTTGAGGGCATTCACACTCCTGTAGGACAGGCTCATGGTTTTATAGAGCACTGGAGTCCAGAATAATCTCTGGGACAGGACACATTAAGCTACAAGTGGAAAGCCTTAGCATAATCTTCATACTGTAAAAATATGACACAGAAATCACAGCATGACAACTATATGCCTTTCAAAAGCCCAAGGAAAAAAATGGTAGCATTCTGAAATGAAGCCATAGAAAAAAATTATTTCCAGGCTCCTGTATGCCTGTATGTGGGTGGAAGAGGGTTAAAGAAAGGGGAGAGAAAAGCCTATATATTTGAATAGACAAAATGTCTCCACTAGAGAAAAAAAGCCATAGTGATTTATCTTATTTTCCAACTTGAAAAAAGGCCCAAGGCGCTCATAAAAACTCCATCTGATTCAGCACAAACCCACATGAACTGAGAAAATTAACTGTGCCTTCCCAGGGAAGGAAGCTGAAGAATTCAAGCATGTAAATAGTGTACCGCAACGACCGGTCAAGCCTTTCAAACAACAAACTTCTGTGTTTGCAGAACTTCAGGGCTTTGCTGAAGTTTAGCTATGCCTGATCTGTGTTGAATGAATTCTCTTTCTGCTCACAAACTTTTCCACAAGAAGTCTCGGAGGGCATTAATTATTAAAACGTATTTCAAGTTGAGAAATGATAGAGTTAAACTATCACTTTAAAGTGGTCAAAAGCTGCTTCCTTCCTGTTCCAGATTAAGAAAGCATTTGAAGAAGTTCATTCTTCTAAAGACCATCTACAGCAAGAAAAATTTGGTCCATCCAAGGCATTTTTTCAAATTGCTTCCTCAGCGTAATCTGCAAGCTACTAGAGAAGAGTGGCTGGTTCTCCTACAGAAGTAACAGCATATTCTGTATTTAGGTAAAACAAAAATGCAAATCTGGCTTTAGGATTTTCTTTCATAATCAATACAGGCTGTAAGATTAGCATTTATACAATTAGCACTATTGATGGCAGAGTTTTCCCCCAAACTTATTAACTAAATATACTGATTAAAGTAATATTTAATCTCAACTAAATCCCCCATACCTAGTGGAAGAAAAGCAGTAACTAGTTTGAACTTCTATATCAGTGTGAAATAACATGTGGGCTAATACATTTTTATTATGCTCAGGTTTGGACTGACTCAACTCCTAGAAGCAGTTGAGCACAGGGCACTTGGTAGAAGTCAGGCGGGAGGTGGACTTGGATCAATCATGAAGAGATGAGACTTCAAACAAACGTCTTGGAAGAACATGAATCAGTATAGTTTATGGATAAGAACACATGTGAAACACCAACAGCTACCTGTCAAGGACCATTGTTTTTATTTGCAGAAAATACTATCACTTCAAGCATACTCTCAGCCAAAGGGATATCCAGGCTGCAACAGTATTAGCAAACACATAAATCAGGATCTAGGGGTGCATGCTCACGTCCAGTCCAGCCAGTGTACAATGCATCTCCCTCTGGACCACAGTCATTGTTACCGCAGCATCTGTGCACCACTACAGGGAGCAAATGAAGTATCCACAAGCTTGCTGAAAACCACTAACAGTGTTTTAACCCATGAGCATCTGCTCATGTGAAATGAGATACCTGGAACTATGAGCCACCCCTGATCAAACCCAGCCTTTCCTGGGGGTTAGCTACCAATTTGTAACGACAAGTGGGACTCGATTTCCACTCAAGGCAAGTGATGAACTGTTTGTCCTCTGATGACACAACCAGCAGGAAACTTCATTGTGCCGCAGGGCCCTGGGCACAGGAAGCTGCCTGACCGAGGGCTAGCAAGGATCTTTCTGAGAGAAGGCTTCTCCATAGGAAAATATTGCTTTGCTGAAATCTAAAATACTCCATGGGAATGCGTTGATTTGGACACCATTTGTGCTGGAAAACAGGCTGACAGAAAGGCTGGCTGGCCAGCCAGCCAGCAAGGGTTTGTGGCAGCCGGTCAGCCCAACCAGGAGCTCCCAGGGCATACAGAACCAGTAACGTCTGAGCTCCCCCAATCACTTATTTCCATCAAAATGTATGCCACACATTTACAAAGATCTTTAAAAGGTGCATGGGCTTCAAAAGACTTTAAAAAAGGAAATAAAAAAACTTTGTCTTCTGGAATGCACATTAGAGCAAGGAGACTGCAGTTGCTAAAGCCAAGCGCAAAAAAAAACGACAGGGTAGGAATTCTCTCTCACAGTTACAGTATTTCGCAACTATGCCAAAAACTCTCATAGGCCTCTCGTCGGAGAGGCCTGATTAATAGATTTAAAAACCCAAACAACTAAAAATTCAAAACAAATTCAATTGTGTGGGACTACATGCCACAATTAAGGGATGATGAAAACACAGAAGGCAGGCGATAAATACAGGCCAATGACTGTGTTACCAAGTATGTTCAGAGGGCGATGGCAAAGCAGGAGGACACAGAAAAAGGGGGGAGGGGGGAATGACATAAAGACCCCGCTTGCCCCCTAACCCCCTTCTGACACTGAGCGCTATTAGACCGAAGAAGGAAGGCTCAGCAGGGAGGCAGGGAAGGTGTTCTACACACACCTAGGCCCACCAAGGCTGAGTGACTTGGGCTCAGCTGCTGGGGCATAGCTGGTGCCAAAGCACACTGTGGCTCTCAGAAAAGCTTGGAGTACAGGGCAGGACACTTTAGTAAGGGGTAGAAAGATGACTGGTGCCAGCTGTAAGCTAACAAGCTGTTGCACACAATATACCCAACACAGAGCCTGCAGTAAGCAAACAGCTGCCAGACCACAGGTTGTAGTGACACAGAGGACCCCCTCTCTAGACCTTACCACTGGCAAAAATTATGTGCACAAAGATTATTGATTGAAGAGCCTCTACATCCAGCTCAGCATCCATGGATTTTGCAAAGTTGTGGTAGAAAGAAATACAACCCTCCCCCTTCCAACAAGTGCAGTAAGTTCCCAGTTATGCACAAGAAGTAGATGGGAGAGCACCCAATTCACTATGAGCACCACCCTGGGATCAACAGCAGTTACCAGGACAGCAGTATAGCTGAAAATTCCCAAGAGTGGAAGCTGCAGCTGCCACATGAAGGGAACGAAGGCATCACTGTACCTGCACTGTAAGCACTCCATTACCAACCATCCACATCTGACAAACAGTGAACTGACAGGAATGTCAAGGACACCAAACCCAGGAACAACAAACCATTTTGTCTAAGAACAGAGCATCTTGGTGGGTATAGAAACACCTCCAAAAGTTTCTGAAAAGCAACTAAACCACAATTATTCTTATGTTCAACTTGCTGAGATAACAACAGCTGTAGATGCCTTTATCTGGCTGGAGCCCATGAAAGCCTCTACCCAGTGGCAGCGAGGAATGATACTCTTGACAAGTACTTTGAGCTCCTGATGCATACTGGACTCACTGCTACTATAAGGTATGTAAATGGATATCCAACTCAGCTGGAAGAACACAATTTTTAGCATTCCTCAGTAAGTTATTTTAGGATTGGGTGGTAACTGAGAAAAAAACCCAAAACACTGAAGAAGTATACTTCTGTGGGAATGCAGCATCACTTGATGCTGGAAGATGAATAGGACTTCCTTATGGCAGTTACCCTGCGTAAAAAGCACGAGAGATATTCATGACCACAGCAACGAGCATCCTCCTTGCCTCCCACACTGCACAAACGTGGTCTGTGAAGCAGCTGTCGGATGGCATGGGAGGAGACCACTCAGCCCAAACCACACTGCCACGAGCTTGCAGAGTGAACATGGGACAGACAGCATCTCATTCTACTTGAGCACTCCTCTAATGCTTGTCAGCTCTTCACTGCCTGCACCAGAGAGCTCAGATCCTTCTAGTGCCCTATCAGTTCCATTTTCTACACTCAACTGTAATGCCATTACTGGATGGCGGCTAACAAGACTAGTGCATTGTGAAGAGGGGTTAATGCTCTACACTGGATATATAGCCATAGTTGTATTAAAGAATTTATCACCTACATGATAATTTTGAGCAGTACAGAAGCATTCAGACAGCACCACACCTCTAACACATGCGTTTTGTTAACAAGAAAATGTATAATCCCTGCCAGCAGCTTGCTGACAGTTAATATCACAATTAGCAATCACCTAGCAACAGGCA